TTCCCGAAAATTTTCCTATTTTTACCCAGAAATTCTTCTGTCGAGGGGGAAGGGGGCCCAGGTGCGAATCCCCTCTCCCAGCGACCGAATACGACCCCCCCCCTCCCTTGTTGGGCAATGCTCAGCAATGATGTGCCCTGGTTCTTGCTGAGCAAAAATCACCTAAACAGGTTTGATAACACTCCTGTGAGACAGGCCCTGCACCTTGTCACTGTTAGCAAATTATCACTTCCAATCCTCTTCCAAACATCTTCTCCTTCTTACTATTATTACAAAGCATGCGAGGCTTCATGACAGGAAAATTATGACTACGAGACAAGAAAAAATGAAAAAAGGGAAGCAGGAGAAAGGTTGGTCGTTTGATCGTTAAGAGGTCAAGTGTGAAACTCATTGAAAACAAGTCTACGTCATAGGAGCGTTCTTTCAGACCAAGATGATGATATGGGAACCTTGACTAAAGATGAGAGTGGTTGTTAAGTCTGACAGAAAGCAGCTGTTCCTAGATTGACGCATTGTGACAAAGACGATGTATAGCGCCATTGTAAGCTGCTCAATGGAGCAGGGATTTGCGCTCACCCCCTTTTCACAAGCTGTGGTGACTTTATCGGGTGGAAAACGAATAACTGAGTCAGAGAAGGAAGACTTTACATGTCCCAATTGCTCTTTAATACTAAATAACGCACTGGGTATTGCACAAAAATGTGACCTATCCGTTAGTACGGGGAGAAAGTTGCGATCAACGACTTCATTAGGAAAAAACGAAAACGAGAAAACGCGGAAAAAAATCACGAAAAGATCTACCAAAATTTGTGAAGTGTATTGTGAAGTGTACTGGTTACGGTATACGCAGTGCGTGCATTAGAGACGGTTTTCAGCAGCAGGCACAAGGCATTCGCATAAATAACTAGCTATACACTTCCCGCTGGCAACTGTAATAAATGGCTATTCTCGTGAGGCTGCGTTCATACTTTGCGGCAGCGTCTACCAGGATCTCAGACTTGTAGGGTAGCAGCGTCGCCTACGCGTAGCACTAACAGGCAACGCTTGCACGTCTGTCTTATTTCGCTAATGTTGGATGATTGGAGTTGCTTTACAGAAAAAGTGGGAAGGTTTGGCTGGAGTTTTTTTGAGAAATTCGGAAGGTGAGATGATTATCAGCTTTGTAATATGTGACATCGCTTTGAAGTTACTTCCCTATAGTCACCATTTTTTGGTATGCTTTTAGGGTGACAAGGTGTCTTCCTGTCTATTAGAGGCATTTTTTCGTGCAAAAAAGCAACCAAAGAGTACTCGCGAACTTAACGACATCGCATCGCATGTTTTTTTATTAACCGGAGACAGAGAGACATAAAGGAATTCTTGTTCGCTTGTGTAACTGCATTGGTAAAACACCCGAGTGTTCGCCACCCTCCGTGGCCTGTTGTGGGGAGATAAGCGCTCTTTTTTAGCGCGCTAGTCGGCAACAAGAAACTTCTAGAAGACTGTGATGCTTTGTTGGCTGTGTGATGCCTTTGAAACGGCAATCGTTTTTTCTCTGTGATGTAGGTAGGCATGGGGGGGCAAATCGAAAACAGATTTTCGTCCGTGTATGGCGACGCTGGTACGTCACAAGTCTGCAACCGCCTGGCCTACCTAGCGGACAGGTTAAGGCTCACCCAGCTTTCTGTTGGAGCGTAGCGACTAAAAAAGTATAGATATCGATCTAGCGTCCCGCCTGCCAGCGTCTACCAGCGTCTACCAGCTACCAGAAGCGTACGGTAGTGGAGAGTATGGGGATATGAGGGTAGCAGACAGCTGGTACCCACCTATCGCCCCATACTCTCTACCAGCAGTGTGCTGCTGGTCGCTAGATCGATACCTATACTTCTCTAGCCCTATAGGCGCTGCTGGTCGTTGGTGGACGCTGGCAGACACTAGATTGATACCTATACTTTCTTAGTCGCTGACGCTGCACGCACGCTCGGAACAATGGTGAATGCTGCCGCAAAGTATGCCTAGCCCTGCGTTAGCAGGAATGTTCAACTCCGCCTTATTTCCTACAGCGGTTGTTACATGGGAATACGCGTGCTTCCTTTTGTATTTGCTCGGCTAAAAGTCAACCGCCTAGGTGTGCTCACCAACGCTCTAACGCATGAACGGGACAAATACCTCGACAGCCAAGAAATGGCAAGAGGTTGTACTTCTGAGCGATTTCTCGCGGTGTGATACTTGACCCTGGTCCTACCTCCCACAACATCCTCTTATAGCTGAACTGCTGAATGGCTGTGTTTCGTCAGATCGTCCTTGCCCTGACCATCGATCCGCGCAGCCTTTGAGTCTCTTTTTTTCTGCTCCTTGCAAGAGATGGAGATTGTATTTTTGAGATGAAGACAAGGACGTGTCGTTTTGATGAAGTTTGTAATCGCATTAGCTCTGGTCATTCCTTCCTATCCATGAAGATCTCCCTCTGGGACTTTAAAACAAGCTTTTCCAGTTGCTTCAGTTGTTTCGAAGAAGGCAATGTAGAGAGTCCACTTTTTCGACAGTATTTCCGTCTACCTTAGAGGCAGTGGGCACAATAATTTGGTTCTCACCAGAAAATAGAAGTCGAGGGACGAAACGATCGGAAAATATCCGGAATTCTGCAATTATTCAATTCACGATTGCAACGTGACCTTGAAGAACGTAATTCCAAGCGGCAAACTCTAAGCCTGAATCTAATGTTCCTCATCAAAAATAAGAAAACATTCAATATATTCTCATGGGAACAAGGTCCAGGTTCTGAAAATAAGTGAACAAAACAAAACAAAAATCATTTGGAAACGTAGAAGGTCCAAAAATGGTCCAAAAGTGGTCCAAAAAATGGAAGCTAGGACGGTTCTGGGAACGCCAAGCATTTGAAAGGTTAGGCGTTGCTATTATAAGGCGCTTTGAGCATGCCTTTTGTTGGAAAATACCCTCCGTGGCACTTGCGCAAAGGCACGGTATACTTTTCTAGTGGACATTTTCACCCTACTAACCTCACTAACTTGGGTTTTCCACAGTCATGCAAAACATACAGTCGAGCGAAAACAGTGTAGCTTACAACTTCTTTATACGATCGCGCAGCCTTTGAGAATCTTTTTTCCTCATTTTTGGAAGATGCTTTTCTTTATTAGAGTTAAAAAGGTGGAATTGCTCGCATCATCGTCACCACTGCCTTCAGTTGGCACAGTCCCTCTAACATTCTTTCTATCTTCTCTTTGAATGTAGTTGGCATTATTGGAATTAGTCGGGGCGGCGCCAGGGTGGGTGGAGTGAGCCCGCCCTACTGAATGAGCCTGCCTTTCCCACCAATTGCCATCAGTCAGTGATCGGTCTAGGAAGAAAACAACCAGTTGTAGAAAGCGCTGCTGATGGGTTCATTTCATAGCTCCCGACAAGGGCACGTCCCACGTTGGAGAATCCCTGTCCGTCAGGGCTTACTTGGTCCCACGACGGAGGGGGCGGGCGTATCTAATCTGAAAATTTTTTTATAATTGATTTTTCCTGTTTCATGGGCACTATTTTAGTTGTTGGCTTTTCGTGGTTTTTCACTAATTCTCATTCTCCAGTAAGTTTGACTGGTATTATATACCCCTCGCCCCTGCTCTCTACAGCAGAAATGTCTGGGGGAAAAAACTGGAAAGTTTGTGGGAAATTTCAGAAAATGTCGGATAGGAGGCTGGGAAAAGTTGGAGGATGGGAGGAAGGGGGGACGTACCAGGGAATTGTGTAAGGGTAGTATTTCCCTGAAATTTTCCCCCAGCGGCAGGACATGCTCCGCTCCCGCACCAGCCGCCCCACTCATTGCAACGATAGGAGCTGTACGCTTGAATCAAAGCTTGAGGTGTGCCTGTGGCTTCTTCACACAGTCTACATAAAGTTCACAAGCATACAAGTAAAAGTGGTTACAGTGTAGCAAGTGGCAACCCTTATATGTATCGACTCAGGTCACATTTTTTGGCCTGTAACCCTGTCCGGTGACCCATCTGCGCTTCCAAAGCCAATTGCAGCCAAGTGCAACAGCTTCGCATGAAAACATCCTCGTGAGGAGCTGAATATCTCTCAAATTTCTTCAGCTCATTATTTTGTAGAAATTTGTTAGTATATAATTTGTGAACAACTAAAAACAAATCATTCTATTTCCACCGATTAACTCAACTTCTGTGATGAAGCTTTTTTTCAGGCGATCTGTGAACGACCATGGGACTTCGACATAGTTACACAAAAAGCCTTTACAGTAATAGGAATCGAAGACATCAATTCAGACCCACGGGTTTGTCTTTCTCTATTTTCCATAGACTGCACACTCATTCTTGTCTCTTTTTCGGGGAGAAGGTGTGCAGAGAGGGCAAACTCTATACGAACCTACGCCCAGGCCATTCCGCCTCTGCAGGGCGGTAGATGGCTAAGCTGCGTTCATACTTTGCGGCAGCGTTCACCAGCGTCTACCAGCGTCCACCAGCGACCACTAGCGTTCCGAGCGTCCGGCAGCGTCAGCGACTAGGAAAGTATAGATATCGATCTAGCGTCTGCCAGCGTTCACCAGCGACCGGGAGTAGAGAGTATGGGGAAGTAGGAGGGTAGCAAACAGCTGGATTAGGCGTCGTGAAATTGCGGCGTGTGCAACCGCACCGCACAACTGCTAAAGCACAGAATTATGCAATTTAATGTACGGTGTAGTGTAGTTGTACGGTGCGGTTGCACACGCCGCAATTTCACGACGCCTAATCCAGCTGTCTGCTACCCTCCTACTTCCCCATACTCTCTACTGTCGTGGTGGACGGTGGTAGACGCTGGCAGACGCTGGATAGACATTTGTACTTTCTTATCGCTGATTTGTACCTTTCTTAGTATGCTGACACTGCGGATGCTCGGAATGCTGCGTCGCTAGTGCACGCTGTGACCCTTGCCGCAAATGCGAAACGCATCTGAACATGTCGCCTTCACGTCGTCAAAGTCATTATGTTTAAGCGAACGCATTCTATAATGCCGCCCCACGATTTTTGAATGAAATGTGCGCGTGGCGCATCCCAAGCGAACAATCAACGTCGCGAGCTTCGTCCTTTGATCCATGGTTTGAATTTCATACTTCCAGCTGAACGAGCCAGTCTCGAGCACCGAATCAAACCATACGGTAGCATGGTGCTGCCGAGCGACCGGTAGCATTTCGGGCGAACTGAATCTCGAGATAGAGTGGCTTTAACTCCGGGCCGAGAAAATCAACGTTCTCCTACCGTAATTCGTCATATACCATTATGCACTTTATTCAAGAATGTGAAACTATGCGCTTTTAGCTCAGTAATAATAGCTCGGCGGCAACCTGATGACTTGAAATTCGCCAGCAATACTGGTACTAGGTAATGAGGGATCGTTTTTCCTGCAAGTTTTTTTGCTTTTTTCTCGCTTAATCTGTGCTACCATATCTTTGGCGTTGGAAAAGTCTGCTGATTGCCAGCGGCAAAGACGTTCGCGGTCACGAACAAGTAGATCTACAACACGTAATTCTTGAAGACTGATAAACCAGAGCTAAGCTTGTCGGACGTTTGAGCAAAGTACGTTGTTCAGGATATCAGCCTCATCCCAGCCTCACCATCGCCTTCATTCAACTTTCTCGGCTCAGCCTCAAACTATCAGCCCGAAAGATGATTCTCACAGCTCTAGTTTTGTTCTACGCCACCTCTTTGAGGTTTTCTTTTCATGGTACGCATTTCAAAGAATCCCTCCTCCGGCCGGAAGCAAGGCCCCTTCCTGGACAAGTAGCGGTCTTCAAACCTGTTAAAATTGTTCCTTTTTTGCGGCTGCACAATAAGTAAAGAAAGCGCTGCGGCCCCCATAAATGTCGGTTCTAACGCCTTCTTAGCTGTTCCGCCCCCTGTAGTTCAGAGGCCTATTTCTATGAGACGCTTCATTTTAGGCCGTGTTTTCGTTTTTTTACTCGGGTTGGCCACTCAGGCGCGCAAGAACGGATAGTGTGCTCAGGGCAGTTTTCGCTTTTCAGGCATAGAACGAGCGGTTCGAAGAACTCGTCCAGAGAAGCTGCCATGCCATTACTTATATTTGATGAGCCCATGACTTTATTTGTTTTTCTCTAAATCCGTGGACAAGTCATTTAGCAACTATAAGCGCGCACTGAGCGCCTTTATCCACAATATAGCATAGCAGGGTTCGTCTCTTAGCGCTAGGTCGAATGCCCCGGGGTTCACCCCCATTACGCTATCACCATTATCCGCTTTTCTCTAGTTGTTCAAGTTTTCGCATATCTCTATAGCAATTAGTAAAGTCTGGTGTCTCGGAATATCAAAGGCACGGTTCGCGATAAGGAGCGTAGGTGGTGAAATGTGCAACGGGAATGGCCCGAGGACGTCGTCTTGGGGGAAAGACAACATAGCAAAGAGAACGTCAGAAACACTTCAATATGAACCCTTAAGCCTAAAATGATTGCACGGATGAAAAGCCAAAGAACCGCTCAATGGGACGACTCCTTTTGTTGACTCTTTGCAATGAAGCCCTATGACCCCACAAAAAACTATGTAGCATCCATTTTATGCTAAATGTCCGGTAGCATTGCTTTGTGGAAGGCGAAGCGTTGAAGCAGAAGTCTGGAGCGGAAGGAACACTGAAAGGATGTACACGCTATCAGATTGGCAACATTCCACCTTGCAACTTTCAAAAAAGTGACACAAGGTTGTTCAGTGCGGACCACACTACCCTCCCATGAAAGTCTTCGTTGTTTTCATAAGTCCTCCGGGCCGCCATGAATCATTCGAACCTCTGTGTCAATCATGCGCTCCCGTTTACTTGGAATTATAATAAGCTTCACGAATCGACGAAAACAATTCAACCGATAATCCCGCTTCTCTTCATTCGAATGGGAGAGACGGAGTAGTAGTAGCTGAATAACTGCATTGCCTGGATGCTTTCAGAAACTAAAGTTGGCTGATGGGAGGAGCCGTGGCCTCGTCACGACGCCTATGACCACTACGGTTGCGTTTCTCAGATCTCGAGCTGCAAACAGTACATCCTCATAGATTGCGGGCAGGGCTATTATGTCGAAAGAAGGCATCTGAACACCAGATGAACGCGAAGGTGGCCTTGGAGCCATGCGTAAGATTTCTTGGTTGAACTCCACATGAGGTTGTCAATACACCTTTATTGGCTTACGTTTCGGCGGGATCGCCTTCTTCAGAGCCTGAAAGGATCGAAGCAATTATGACTACCCGACCAAACGTCTTCCACTACCCTACTGAAGTTCGAGGTTATTACCTCGCCTAATCGTGAGAGCGGGTCACCGCAACACAGTCCGATCTTTGAGACCAGCAAGCCGGCAGTAGGACCTCCTCGGACTGTTCCTCATTCAGGGTCACTCTTGGAAGGCCATCCTTATATAAGGTCCTCAGCTCCGCGTTATTGTGACGCATTCCCCCTCCGGTTCATTTTTGGATTGCTGACCTCAATCCAAAATGCCTCGAGGGTTTTCCGTGCTGTTCGATGATTCTCGCGCCAGGACCCCCCTCCCTTCGAGATGAGTATTCCTCACAACTTCTGTGACATTGAGAAAATATGTTATACTATCCTAGTAATTCCATATAGGTTGCTGCACACACTACCACCGAATTGATTACTGAGGAGCTGGTTGTGCCGTCAGTTCCGCCTCGGTTGGGTAAATGCAAGATTATGTCCGTTAGCTATAGCCTCGACTTGGAGGTGAGATTTGATACGCGGTCTGTTCATTCTGCAGAGCTAATGTAAACTTTACAGATCGACCAAACGCTAGTTGTATCGTGTCCGGTGACCATCGGGTCTATTCCATTGTTAGGAGAGTTATTGAACCATACAAAGGCTAGAAATGGTAAAAGTAACCTCCGCGATTCTCCTCCAAAGAAGGACTCCCCAACCACCGACAGTTGTGTACAGGTAATAATTTACCTTGAAATTGTTTGCTGTCACCCAAAGGAAGCCTACTTTTCACCATAGTGTTACTTTTTAGGTAACGATTACTGACGAATCAGGTCAGACCATTTGTGGTGAGCAAATGAGTGAGGAAATTGACGCACTGATGTCCTCGCGGAAGCGAGTTCGCATGCCAAGTTCAATTCTTTCTGAACTCTATCCCTCCATGCCCAGTCCTTACTACAGGTTCGCTCGAGTTTGCTTTGTTAAAGATTCACCTCAAGACAATATTTATTCCACTGATTGATTACCCTTATTGATTATTTATTGCTTAATCAGAAAAAGTTTGTGCCTCGATGACCCATTCATACCGTCCAGAGGGTTGCGGGTTCAAATTATACTCATTAACATCACCGATCTTCTGCCAACAGGACTTAGCACAGGCACGTACACGACACCCTACGTTTGAACAGAATCACCGGAAGATGGGTGCTCCACCAATCACTACCTCACCAACCTGAATGAGCTTGATAAGGAAGAACCCGCGATTACTCGCCATCTCAGATGGTGGATTAGGGGGTTCCATATAGACGACAATGGGGTTGATTAACTCGACTGTGAACAAAAGAAGCACACCTACCCATTTCGATCCCAGTTTGTACGTGCCCAATCAACTCTATCTCCAAAACTACGCCCTCATATGCACGGCTGATTCACCGATAAGATTTCTACGATCGTACAAGTGGCGATTATCATGCTTTTTTTGTCGGATTACGTTCGGCTGGTTCCGTTGCATATTCAAAGCCAACTACTCAAACCTTCTGTCATCGTCTTTCGCAGGCGTATGGCACCATAATTTGCTACTTGGTCAAAATGGTAGCAGGGGTCTATACTTAGTGGAGAAAAAGTAAAAAAAAACGACGGAACGCGCAAAAGACGAAGAAACGTGGCAAAAGCATCTGCTCACACCCGCATAGCAAGCATTGTCCGGGACCGATAGTTTTCATGCTGGGAGTAGTGCCAGTAACGCTGCTACCGCCAGATGCGGCTGCGCTTATGTGCTTAGTGTCTATATCAATGAGCGCACCGCCGCAGCCGCTTTCATATGCAATCCTTCTCTTCATATTGTACTTCGCTAAGATACGAGAAATCAGCCATCGGCCGGAATTGTGGCGGCGGGCGCGGCGCGGGCCCGGCGTCGGTATGTTGCAGCTTGATGGGGCGCTATAAGAGCACCTTCCTCTGATAAAGCGCTCGCAGCGCGTGTTCAGATACACGTCTTGAGGATTTATAATACTTGGCCTTGATGTGCGATCGCCTTTCTTAAAATTGGAGATCTGAAGATGTACAGTCTTGTTCGACACGTACACTAGGGCGACTGTGATCACCTGCCAGCTTCCACAACTGGTGAAGAACAAGCTGGCGCCGCGCCAAACTCAGACCTCCTGAAACGGCCAACAGGGCTGTACCGCGGTTCGACCAGCCACATTCCGCCGAGAAAACCCTCACGGAAGGACATGACAACTGTCATCAGGGCTAAGGGCTGATAGGGTAAGAATAAGGAGAGGAAAACAAGAATAAGAAGAGGGTGAGGACATTCTGTAAGAGAAGAATAAAAGGCTTCAATTGCGTGAACATTCTTACACTTTTACAGTGAACAAGGAGCAGTTTTGCAGACCATTTGTTTCTTTGATGAGCACGCCTACAGCATCAATAATGACTGGGGAAATGTTGTTGAAAACACGCATCCGTAATTGTACCGGAATTTAAGTGGACCGGCATAAATAATTGTCACCTAATAATTGCAGCAGAGAAGGCGGGCTATATAAGGAGCGAAATCCTCCTTTGATCCTTTGATTATGAAAGCTCTACGATTACTTGACAAATTTTCAATGTGATTTCTGTGATGCTTGACTATGTAACATCCAAAAAAGCAATTTTTTTTGCAGGGAGTCATGTTTTGGTCCTGTCGATATATCGGATGAAAGGGAATGCGCGCAGTTCGGTGAAAAAATGTTCGCTCCGAAGTATCCATTCTATACTGATTGATTGTTTCGTACATGAACTCGGCTGTCAGTTAGACGTTTGACCGTTTTATGCTGGTTTGATTGGCCAACTCGCTAAATCCAATTGTTGATTATGTTCATAATGTTATTGCTTAAATGTGCCTATTGCTGTGTATGTCTGTACAAACAAGAAGAACAGCTCGCCATCTGTCAAGATTCGATTTGGTGAGGGCACCAAAACTCATCAGACCAAACTTGCGGGGCTTCTTGTGAAGGCCTGTGAAATCTCATGACTTAAAGACAGTTCCCGCGATCAACTGGTCCACGAAATGCCTTCGTGCATTCGGCATCGTAGTTTGCGTTCTCAAAGAATGTACGACTTTTGTCACTCGGGAAGACGAGGTAAAGAAGCTCGAGTCGCGTGATTATTGC